TTCGCCAAGAAAATTTACATACACTTGTACAGGCGCATTTTTCGAAACGCACGTGCGCATCCGCGAGGCAAAATTCGCTCCTGGCTTTGGGGACGAAGTACGGAGGGTCTATTCGGCAGAGTACGACCGCTCACATTTGTGCGAGGGGCTGCTTAACCAGCCTTAGAAGATCCGGTCGCTTCGCTCCGTCGCATCTAAGCCAACAAAACGTTATCAACAGCAAGCCGCTTTGGGGGTCCTGGCTCAAAGTGAGGCCCACCCTGGAGTTAGTTGTTAAGCTTTCATGTTACTTCCTCATACAAACTGCTTCTCTAGTACTGTGATGTTTTATTGGTTTTATTCATGCAAACTGAGCTGAAGTTGCAAGGCGCGAAGATGCTGGCCGCATCATGCCGCACCGCATTCCCAAGCCAGTATGCACAACTCTGAGAAAGTTTGCAGTCTTTATTGTTTTGTTGTGGCACAACTCCACGTAACTCTGCACATTATAGTGCATAGGAGCAATTCTTGCGCAGAAGTCCAAGTCGACTCAAAAGCATTCCAATTGGACTGTCTGGCTTGATGTAATGTTATCAGGTTGTTTATCGTAGCGCTTTGGCGCACCCAACGTGGAGTGTTGGCGCCGGAATGTGCAGCTGAACTCCTGCGCTATGAACCTGAACCAATGGTGCACGTTCCCAGCCATGGACATTTTGACAGAACACCCTTGTACGTTCTGCCATTCTAACCACAGCATTATAATTTGTTGCAGTGGCCGTCCTTCGAACATAACAGTCCTTCCCCCCTTAGGACGCGCGATTTGCAATAGCAGCCAGTGTGCAATTAGATATGTAGACCTCTGTGATGCGAGTTCTTCCTCAGTCGAGATCCGCTTCAACGAGCGTTTGTCGCTTCAGTCTGCTTCGGAACGAACACAGCCGGGCGGAATTTGACGCTAGAGGAAATAAGCCATAGAGCAAGAGAAAAATATCTCGCGGAAATAGAAAATAACCCTGGTCATTCCCCTGATTTAAGCCTAAAGAGAAAGCCGATATTACAGCACCTGTGTAAACGTAAG